TCGCGCCTAGCATCAATAATCTTGTTGTTTGGAATAAAGTGAGCTCAGAATTTTACTTCCAAATCATCCCAATTACTAATAAACCCTTCTGAAAAATTGAGTAGCCACTCTTTGGCTTTGCCTTTAATAGAGATTGGAAATAATCGAAGCCTTAAAACATCCTTTAGTTCTCCATTTTGCTTGATGTGATGATTAGCATCTTGATGTAGAGCACCACTAAACAAACCAGCAATTTGAATCATGGTAATCATCACCGGCTTGCTCTCAAAATTGTTAGCTTGAATTTCCAACACTATAATGCTAGGTTTATTACTTTTCATAGTTTGCCTAACAAAATCATGAATTGATCGGTTATGATTTTCATTAGCCATCTTTGTAACTACAATTTCTTTATCCTTGTGAGATGAATTCAAAGGTGATATTGCATTTAAGAGTTCTTGGATACTCTTCATTCTTACAAGTGTCTTTTTAACCTTAGCTCTATGTGGCATAAAGTATAGCCACGCAAACTTAAAAGGGAAAGATCAATAATCTAGCTATGCAACTCACAAATAAAATAAAATAAAATACTTAATTGAAAACTACTAAAGGTCCTTTAATGCTAATCACCAATTACCTTAATTCCCCAACAACAGTGCTAAAAACTTGATGCTCACAATATGTAACGAATTCTGCAAGTGTATGAATCATAAAAATAGTACACGATAAATCAAGGTCGATCCCACAGAGAATCAAGTTAATTGGTAATTAAGCAATAAATTTTTCATTTTCATTTAAGTCAAGCAAAACAAAATTTGGATTTGATATTGAAAAATAAGAAATTGAAATTATATAAATGCACTAAGATTAAAATCCCAACAACTACAAATAGTCAAGGCAACCTAGGGTAGCTAATCCCTTCTTCAATTCATAAAGCATGTAATTACCCAAATAAATTCACTTAATATTAATTTGTTAATTTAGAGTATTAATAGAAATAATTATCTTCTAATTAATTACACCCCTCTTTTGAATTAATATGCTTTTCCTAACATAATAACCTAAGAGGAAAAATGCATAAATCCACTCTAATGTGATTTTGTGTCTGATAGGTATATTCCTTGACAAATTAGAATAAATTTTAATCCCACATTACTCAATCTAAAGGTCAAATTTAGATTTTCTTCTTCTAAGGCAAACTTAAACCCCCCAAATTCACACTCAATGGTGATCAAGCATTAAATAGACAAATAAGCACAAGATTAAGTAAACAAAACTAATATTAAGCTCAATAAATGATTCAAATATGCTCTAATCTAAGAATCAGTTCATAGCTACCTTATATTAAGAGAAAATCAGCCACACATGGCTTCTATGATAGCAAAAATTAGCAATATATAGAGCAAAGTAAAGAAAAGAAGGAGAAAAAAAGCTTAATCAGAGCAATCTTGAGTGAAACCCTTGATTTTCCATTAAACTCAAGCTTCTCCAACCCTTCTTTGACTTATTTTGCTCTTTCTGGACATTCTACAGCTGCTAAAGGTGAAGAATGCACGAAAATGAGGTTGCTCAAGCCCTAAAAGTTCGCTGACAATTAAAACTGTGCATTTTATTAAAATTGTGCTCGTGTTTTGGCTACAGCGAATATGAACTATTCATATTTTCTTTTTAGATTTAATTTCTTTGACTTGGACTCCAAAATTTTCTTTTTTGGACCCCTAAATTAAGCCTCCCTACATGCATAAAACCCCAAATTAATGCTAAAATTGGTCCACTAACTTCTAACACATTTTCAAGCCCATTTTCACATACATTCATCCATTTAATCATATTTTTGCCAACAAAATTCAAATAAACGACTTTCAATTACATTAAAAATACCAATAAATTTAATAAAATATTGGAAGTCATTAGTAGCCTTTGTCCTGCCATTTGTTTTTACCTCAAGAGGAGGAAATTCTTCCTCATAAGGCTTCATCATTACAATACAAGGCAAAGCTCGTACTCGTGTAGGTAAGAGTATTGGAATCATAGGTTTTAGGCGTGGTAGAATTACTAATTTTGCTTTCTCCAGAGGGAGTAGATCTTCATGACCAAGTTCTTTGAGGAATTCAATAAGGGTAGTCCTCTTAGTAGGAGGATTTGGAAATCCTACCCATTTTCTTCTTGTATTTTGTTTAGGGCCATGATCATCATCATCTTTCTTTGGAGGCGTTTATGTCTACATGGAGATCTAGGTTACTTAGGCTTCCTAGTTCTTCTTTTGGAGCTATAATCATCATCTTCTGAATCATTTTAGAGATAACAATCACAATCTAGGTCACACATTTTTGGGGCGTAATCCCAGATAAAATGACCATTGATATGAGAGACATAAACTAGCTTGGCATTTGCTGTAAACCACTCAATTAGGGATCATCCTTATGTCCAATAAAGGTTGGGGTTATGGATAGGATCCTTCCAGAGATTAAATTTGGATCATGAGTTCTAGGTCTTTTAAAGATAAACTTAACAATACCATCCTGAAGCCTATAAAGCTCAAGAGGTTCTGTGGTGTGTACATATCTTTGAACACCATGAAACTGTTTCTCATAATTATTGTTCCATTGCAAAGGCATCATCTCAGCAAGTTCTTCCACAGGCAAATGTCTTGGCATTTGAATAATTGATGAGTTGTTAGGGTCGTCAACAACCATATATAGGGTAGCTCTAATTGCGTTAGAAAAGTTGAGGTCAAAGGAGTGGTCTTGAAATCCGAAAATCATTTAGTGATGTAAGGTAGCCATAGTAGCATCTGGCTACTGTTAAGCTCCATGAATCTGAATTTGGACTTTCAATCTGATGGAAAGAGTCAGATCAGTAAGCTTGATGTTGAAATCAGGGGCTATGGTGAGAACCATGCTCCCATTACCAAGAGTGGCCAACATGGCATCGATTAAAGTGTTGTCATATGACTTGAAGATAGAGTCTAGTAAAGCCACTCTAGCAGTGGCTACCATACATTTTCTTCTATAAAAGGTGTGAACAATGCGGATGGCTCCTACATAAAGATGGGTATAACCCTAGGCGAGTCAAACTTGTCCCACAAGGGATTTATCACAAAAGATTACCAAGCATTCAAGAAACCAATTTCTTTCAAGTTAAGCAAATAAATTTTAAGAGTGGTTTTAAAACAAATCAAAATAAAATTTCCAGGATCACAATGAAAAAAATCAATCAACAAATGAACTTAAGAAAACTAACTATGCTAATTTTTATTGATATCTGCATGTGTCATTCCTCCTTTGCTCACTGTACACTGCGTGGTTGCTCTTCCTTTAAAAGCTATACCATATTCCAAAATGAGAAGCAAAGTAAAACGACTCGTGTCATTCTCTTCATCTTCTTAACCAACTTCAAATGATTGGCCATAAAATCAATTATCGACCCTCTCTTCCCAATTTCCATAGAAATACTGATATTGTTAAAAGTTTTGGATCGGATGGCTATAAAAAGGCTGATGATCGACAGTTTATGCAAATACAAGTAACCATAAGATTGACGTCTATTTTGTCGTGACCTGAAACGTTGACCGGGTAATGAGAGGCCACGTAAGAGCACATGGCTACTGTCTCTATATATAGGGAGAGGGGGGTAAATAAAAGGGAAAATTTCTCTTCAAGATCAAATAATGGAAGACATATTTCTTATCAAAGACATTAAAAATATGCCAGAGGCAGTGTTTTCTAGCTAGTTGCCATTGTTTTCTGTTTTTAATAATATCCTTTTTCTTAGATAAAAAGAGATAGAGGAATAGTTTTCTTTTAGCCTATTATCCATGAAAAAATAGAAATAAAAGCAGATGGTTGAAAAGAAAATTCAGATTACAAATATATATTTATGATGGATGAATTATAAATTGTAATAATAATTTTGTAGTTTCAACATTTGCAAAGTTGGTAATTCATATCAAGCTCGATCAATTGGCTAGCCCAAATAAACTCAAAAAATTTAAGAGTCGAGCTTGGTAATATAAAATCTTTTCTTCACTTCATATACTCCCTCTGGATCAAAATATAAGGCATTAGTAACTAATTCATAATTATCAAAAAAATGTTAGTTGAAAACTTAATTTTATTAAAGAAAATTTACATCTTTTCAATATTACCCTCATTAATAAGTTCTTTGAGAATATAAATTCTAATGCATCTTTCCAAAATATAGTGCATTGAAAAAAAATGATAAATAAAGTATGAGTATAGTGGAAAAAAAATTATAAAAATTATTCAATGCACTATATTTTGGACTAAGCAAGACTTGATCTGGAGGGAGTACCATATTATGCTTAATACTCACAAACCCTCTCACAAACTCTCAACTCTTAGATTGAGATTTAATGTTCCAATAACTACTTGTTTAAAAAAAACTGAAAATAGTAAGGGGTAAAAAAGGAAGTTCATATATTTTATTTTACTGTTTTACTGTTTGGTCTCTCAATAATAAGGATAGAAAGAAAAGGTGCATTGTAGTATTATATGTTGCTTGATTTTTCAATTGAAATTACTGCCAAAAAAACAAAATAGAGTAATTTTTAATAATTCAGGCATTTGGGCTATGCAAAATCAGCATGAAAACTTTAAGTATTAAGTTCAGACTTGGCTATATATAATTTTTTTTATATGTTTGAGTATTTTAAATTCAATCTAAATAAATCTAATCAAAGGTCACCCGCCCAAGTTACAGGATCTTAAGTGGACAACCAACCCACGTCAAGTTGGTGGTGTGTCTAATCTCGTAATTTTCTATACTGCTAGCTTATGTAATGCCGTGTGCTAGTTAAGTCTGAAATGACAGGAAAACTTTAAAAAATAGAGAGAGAATCAATTTCTTCAATTGCTTAATGAAAGAGACTTACATATAAAATAGCTGGAGCACCGTGCAAACATAAATTTTCATAATATGTTGACTTGCGAACAAATTAAAAATCTGTCAAACTCTAAGTAGCTATCCTATATGATCCCAGTTTTCTAATGGCTTTCCGGAGCAGTGTATCATCATCAATGGCTTCTTCTTCCTCTTCAAAGAGGATCTGGAAATATGATGTGGCTATAAGTTACAATGATATGGAAACTGTCTCGTTTTACACAATTCTTTGCCGTAATTTAGAAAAAGAAGGTTTCAAAATCGGCATCAGGAGCTCATTGCCTAACTCATTAGAAATAATTGGAGAATCCCAGATTTATATAGCTGTCTTCTCACAAAGATATGCTTTCTCACCAAGTTGCTTGGACGAACTAGCAGTAATGTTTGAGTGCATGAAGGGATCGGAGCATAAATTTCTGCCAATTTTCTTCAACGTCGATCCGTCTACAGTGAAAACATGGCTAGCTCCATTTCAGACACTACTGGATCAACGCCCAGATTTGGTCATACAAAACAGGTAAGTAATAATAGATTTAAATCATCTAAAGTTGAAACCTGTAAATTTTAAATATCTATTAATTTATATATTGCTGGATATGGATGATTGTTCACATCTCTCATCATATTTATGATCTCCTAATGCATGTTAACAAATTGATTAAATCCTTCAAAATATACGTTTGAATCTGGGAATAATAGACACAGAGGCAAGAAGTAATACATTAAATCATTTCTAGCTAGTTAAGTACATGTTTACTCAGATTTCTTATATTTCAAACAAATTCAAATTTTATATTTTATATTGATGACACTCATTTTTTTGCTTGACGGAACATAGAAGTGTGTATATCCCCAAAGTTTATATATATATATATATATATATCAAGGAACTATAGTTTTTCTTCATATAATTCTGGACAAAGTTTACCCAAGTGAATCATAATTAAATATACCCTCTTTCATCTTTCCTATCATTTTTCTTCACTGGTCGACAAGAGTACCATTATATATACTTGTAATGATTTAGGGATGCTTATCTTATAGAAAAGTACCATTTGAGCCCAAAGTACATTGAATTGAAATAGACATGCTGAACCTCTATATCTTTTATTAGGAGTTAATGGCAGTTGCTTGCATTTTGCGTAATAGCATTTTTTTTTATTGTGTTTTTTTTTCCTTCTTCTTTTCTATAGGGAAGATCAAAAACGAGTTATTGGCAAAATAGTAGTGGAGGCAAAGAAACTTTTGGTCGAAGAGACGTAAGTTACATTCTTTTCAGTTCTTCATAGTTTGTTTGGTATGAAATATTACTAAGAAATGGTTGAATAATATGGTTGAATAACCTTTGATCAACCACCACTTATTTACGTTTTCTTCGTGTTTAGCATCTGAAAGCAAGCGTGGTTGAATAATGATACTAAGAAACTATGGTTTTAGATTCGCAATGGATGTCCGTAGAAGTGTTGGGTCGTCATCCAAGGGGATATGGCCATGGAGCTGTGATGTTGTTGTATTGAATTTCATAACTGAGGACAATCGCTCATTTATTGAAGACCTTCGAAACGCTCTAAATAGAAATGGTCTGGTAATGGCTTCACGAGAGTCCATTGCTCAAGCTCCCATGGACGCATGCAAGCTTCGTGTTTTTATCATCTCAAAAAACTATGAGTCCCAAACACGCTGCTTGCAGGAACTGAACTTAGATGGATGCATATTTCTGCCAATTTTTTTGGAGGCGGATCCCTTTCAAGTACGTAGCGATAGTTCTTTTGAACTGGAACAAATGTTGGAGCTATGTTCATTTTCAATAAACGATTTGGTGGTTCAAGATATGTAAGACCTTCTTCTCTAATTGCTCGGTTCATACTTTTAAATTTCTTCCTTTCAAAGTATTTTTAAGGGATAAATTGATGAAGATAAAAGAAATAAACTATGATTTCATCTTTGTCCTCTTTTTCTTTTATTGCTTCTAACTTGGAAATACGCCAATTCTCAACATTCGCATGCCAAATTATTAACTCACTCTTTGGCATAGAAATTTTTTTATTTTCACGAAATTAAACATTTATACTAGTAAGTAATTAAAGTTGTTATTAGATTAGTGTGCACTCAATTTCATGTTCTTAGCAATCATCATCAATTGACATCTATGCATTTCGTTGGTAGCACTAATTTTTCTTTCATCTTATTACAGGAGAGATCAACCTCGAGTTATTCGTAATATTCTTGAGAAATACATCGACTACATTTTGGGTGAGAAGCATGATCGGTAAGTAACATTATTTTAATTTTGTATGGTGCTTTCTCTGCATATACTTGGGAAGTTATATTTGAAATCTTGTGCAACAAAATGACTGAGTATATATATTGAAATCTTATACGCACTCATACCTATATGAAACAATACTACTAAATTACTTTTGTTCTTCTTCTATTCTACAGGATATCAAGGCTAAACCATATCGAAGCACTTGCAAAGGAAATAGATAAATCAGGAGAAATAGCTACCGTAGGGATAGGAAATCGTCGTGTTGAAAAGTTAATTGAGTTTCTGGACTTAGGCTCAAAGGAAGATGTGCGAATCGTAGGGATTAGTGGGGTGGGGGAAGTAGGAAAGACAACTCTTGCCGGAGATGTGTTTAACAAAATCTCTCACCTTTTTGATTCTGCCTATTTCATCGCAAGTCCAAGTACCAGTCAAGTTGACTACCCTAATCAATCCATATTAATAGAGGCATTTCTCCGGATAGCTTTGCCAAAAGAATTTGAACCTAATAAATACTTAAAAAGCCTAAGACTCCATAGGATGCTTGTTGTTTTTGATGATGTAGAGCACTGGAAACCTTTAGATGAAGGATGGACTAGAAGGTTGTTTGGAGGAGGAAGTAGAATTATCATAACATGCAGAGATGAGAGAATCCTTAGAAAGCTTGGAGTAGATGAAATCCACAAGGTGGAACTATCGAATCAAAATGAAGCTCTTCAACTTTTTAGCAAAATTGTTTTCCAAACTGATAAACCAATGAGAAGTTATGAGGAGCTGACCCTTGAAGCACTTAAATATGCTGATGGCCTTCCATTAGCTATTAAATCAGTAGGTTCATCACTGGTTGGTCTAAGTGTCTCAGAGTGGAAAAGTATGTTGACCAAACTGCAAACAGTTCCTGACCCTTTAGTACTCATGGTTCTTCAAAAGAGTTTTGATGGACTCACAGATAAACAAAAAGAATGCTTTCTTGGATATTGCATGTTGTTTTGTAGGACAGAAGATTGATTATGTAATGGGAATTTTCGGTGCTCAATTTTCGGTGCTCACTGATATGATAATCAGTCGTCTTATGGATAACTCGCTGATAAACATATCAAATCAAAGAATAAAAATGCATCCTATTCTACAACAATTGGGCAAGGTTATTGTTCAACAAGAATCTACTGAGCCTGGAAAGAGAAGTAGGATATGGCATTATGAAGATTTTCGTCATGTTATGGAGAAGGACTCTGTAAGTTCTTTGAACTTTAATAGTCTTAAAAATTAATTGTCACTTTCCTCCTTTTAGTTATGTATTTTTTGTTTGGTTAGTTCATGGAACATACCCCTCAACTTAGAAAAATGTATTGGGAAACACGATCCTTTCCACCAGTCCTTGTTAAGAGAGTTTAAATTAAATGTGACACACGACTTAAAATATTAGGAATGGTAGGGATGGTTAAAACCCATTATTCTTGCTAAAAAATAAGTAATGGCGTTTTGCACAGCATGGACATAATTAAGATAAACTCTATTCGCCTTCATAACTGTATTAACAAATAGCCCAATTGATAAATTTAACGAAGTTTTTATATTGATTTGATGGTAATTATTTTTCAAGATTATATTGTCGAAACAAATATATTTTAGGACAATATTAGCTTATTTGTTGTCTTTACATGTATAGAAAATTATTAATAATTTTGACTTTTGAATTTGCATATGCAATACATTTATATGTAGGGAACTGATCGAGTTAAAGTTATAGTACTTTTAAATGAAGAATATCCACAAGGGACAATATTAAACATCGAAGGTTTATAAAAAATGAGGAGACTTAGAATCCTTATATTTCACACTGTGACATTTTCAGGAGGTTTCTTTGATCTTTCTAACAACTTAAGATATCTTTCCTGGCATAAATATCCATTTGATTATTTGCCATCAACTTTTAAGGCAGAAAATCTTGTGGAATTGATCTTTCTAGACAGCAACATAGCACAACTATGGAGAGACAAAGAGGTATTGATAATTTTTTTTCACTTATATCAATCAAAACTAAATTGATTATGATCAACAAAGTTGTGCTTCTTTTAATTTGTTGAGTGAATCAGAATTTTGATATTTCACAATTTAAATATCTCATTTCAATTCTTCAAAGAATGTTTTTTATTCAATATTTCTCTCATTAAAAGGTGTTGAAGTAAAAAAAATCTTTTGGGATGTATTTAATTAAAAATCTCGTCTTTGAACAAGTTTTGATTATTGTTTGTTCTGCTATGTAGAAAAGAATTCCACTATTAAGGAGCTTGAACCTCTGTGGCTCTAAAGATCTGAAGAAGACACCTGATTTTAGATTACTTCCAAGTCTTGAGAGGTTAGACTTGGAAGGATGTGCTTCATTATTGCAGCTTCATTCTTCTATTGCCTATCTAGAAAGGATTAAGTTTTTGAATTTGAGAAACTGCACAAAACTAGCGAGAATCCCAAATGAATTATTTGGTAAGAGCTCTCTTGAATTTCTAAATCTGGCAGGCTGCTCCAAATTTGCTGAATGTTTGAGTTTCAAGAGAGCAATTGTATGTTGGTCTTATGTTAGACTTATGCGGCTGTAATCATGTATTCATTATATGAACACATCTCTTTCTTTGCGTTCAACTCTATTAGCTGAACATGCTCGTCTACTCTAACATTAATGCGTAATATTTGCGTCTGTTATGGAATATAATTATATCGATCACCCATTTTAAATTACCAAACCATGTAAGTATTGTTGTTGACTTCGCTAGGATAGATGTGAGTGCCGATGTGCTAATCTTTCATTAGATGAAAAATGTGTGATTAGTATATATGGATATAGATTATTCAGTGCAGTGTTGTTCCTCCAAACCAGGTATTCTGCGTCATAGGTTTTTCTTTGAAGTGTTCGACTAGAAAGCTTAAGTGGTCTACTTGAATGTATTCAGATTTACTAAATCAATTCTGTCCCCAAAAACAAAAACAAATACAAAAGATTTACTTTTCCAATGGAATGTTTGTTTTATATTTGGTTGAAGTTGAAGGTCAAAGGCAGATTGATTGAAATTAAAATTCCATTATTTTATCATTTTATGTTAAATAATTAATTATATATATATTCAATCTTTTTCTAATAAAACTTATTATAAAAAAAATTATTTCTTGTTCTTACACGCGTTTTTTGTTTTAATATTAATTAATATTATCTAAAAGCATAATCTTTTCCGTCCAAAATATAAGTATTTTCTCTTAACTATTATTGGTTCAAAATATAAGCAATCTATTAAATGCAAAAACAAAAAAAACAAAATTATTCATTTTACCCCCTATATTTATCAACCTAAATCCTTCTGTCAAGTTTATCTCTCACTCATACCATTGGTATGGGGATTTTTCCTACAAACTTTTTATATTTTGGATGTATTTGCAATAAATAAATTATAGATATCTGCCTCTTATATTTATTTTAAATAATATTAATTTTTTTGTAAATAGGTATTGAAGTTGTAATTATTAATTAATATATGTGAGAAGAGTGAATAAAATATAGGGACTTTTGCACATATAGCTAATTTAATAGGACTAAATAAAGATAATAGCCTAACATTTCAGATATTTTACAATGAGGCCAAATTAATATTTAAGTTAAATTGAAATGACAAAAACACCCCTTCTCCAATCTGAAAATTATCATTCTCAAATCTGAAATATCTTATGCCCACTAAGCTAACAGTGAAGTATTCAAATATTAAAGTCATACATGATTCTAAAAGGGCTACAATTATAATCATTCAGTTATGATAATTTTCTTATATATTTTGTTACACGAGTTTCTTTATTTATTTTGGGAATTAAAAAAGACCCCAAATCATTGTAAATGGGCCACATTCTAAAATTTTCAAAAACTTTTTCTATAATTTCTAGTTAATATATTTTTCATTTAGTCTACAAGATATTTGGTTGTAACAAACTACTTCTAAAATTATACAAAACATATTCAGGTTGGGGTTACAAATATAGGTTGAAGCTATCAGGTTGCTTGTTAACTAAATAAGTTAGCTTGTCTTTGAAAGCTGGCTTTTACTAGTTAGCCCACCTACTATGGGCCAAGTGGGTTGACCTTTCTTATTTTTTTAACTCAAATTAAAATTATTTTTAAAAGGATAAAAGGGTAAAATATCTACAAAGTAGTTAACTAGGGGCACCCAATATCTTAAAGTGAGAAAAAGGATAAAAATACCCATAACATTACGTGAGTGGTGCAAAAGTGACCAAACTGTTAATTTTGACCGTTAAATGCTAAATGTGCATATCATGTGTCAATCTTGACTGACATTGACTAATAAAGGGGTAAAAATACTCACAAGGTCACCAGTCAGCAGCAAAAATACCTATAATTTTACCAAAGTTAGTGTAAAAGTGACCAATCTATCAAATCCCTTAAATGTTAACCATTTAGTTGACACCTAAGTGAAAGTTGAATATTTTTTCATTGATGTAGATAAAAAATATTCCCAAATAAATTTTTATAGATATTGATCAACCATCTTATGAGTAACCATAATATTACTTTAATAGGTGAAATAGTAAGCAATCCGTCAAAATCTATATCACTTGATCGCCACATATCTCGCCCCCTTCCTTCCTCCCTCTCCACTCATTTTTTTATCTGCAAAACTTGAAATTCAACATAATGAGATAGGTTGTACACAATTAAATATCGAGACTAAGCACATCTCTGCTTTACCTTAAAAACATTGTCACAATCTTAAGCTATTTCATTCATAATAATTTCAAAATTTTTCAACTAATTTTCGCTACTACTACAAAGAAATAAGCGATTTAATTTGATATTAGATCAAAATGACATTTTCTCACATAATATTCATATAATGACTAATAAACCTTCAGAGCATTGCATCTAGGAATATTTTTCATCCATGTTAGCAAAAAAGGTTCAACTTCTGCTTAGGTGTCAGCTAAATGGTTAACATTTAAAGGATTTGATAGATTGGTCACTTTTATATCAACTCTGGTAACGTTATGGGTATTTTTTCTCCTGTCTGACAATCTCGTGGATATTTTTGCTCTTTTATTAGTCCACGTCAATAAAGAATAATAAGTGACAAGTACAGTTAGTATTTAACTATCAAAGTTAATAGTTTAGTCACTTTTATACTTATGTTATGTGATGAGTATTTTTGCTCTTTTCCTCACTTTAGGATACTGGGTGTTTTTGACTGACCACTTTATGAGTATTTTTGCCCTTTTGCCTTTTTTAAAAACTCTTTATTGTTTAATTTCATATTATAGTACGATACTTTTTTGTGGCATAAACATCCTTTTGCTTGTTTGTCCTCAATTTTTCAACCTCACCAACTTCTAGAGATAATTAGGTCTGATAGAACCTACCGTATCTTGAATTGCTTACGAATCTAAAGAGGTTAGACTCTGAACGATGCACATCATTATCACAGCTTGATTCATCTATTATACAGCTTCCAAGGCTCGAGCATCTGAATTTGAAAAACCACTCAAGTTTAATTATCAGTATTCCAAATGAATTATTTGACCAAACCTCTCTTGATTTTGGTTGGCCAAGAAAAAAGACCTTTCTTGAATTTCGAAACAGTGGCTGCACACAATTTGCCTGATGCATGTTCTTCAATTAACGATTGAAAACATCATCTCCCATGCCATTATCACAGAGTGCTTGGTTTAACTGTTCGAAGAATTTTAATATATTAACTTATCTTGAGATATGCAATAACATTAAATAAATATGCCAAAAGCATTTTTGAGGTATTCTTGGGACCATTGTTGATAATAGCAGTCCCACACAATAGGGTTCAGATTAGTCTAGATATGTTGTGGTAATACTTCCATATTTCCTATAATAACGGGCAATGCTATCCCAAAAAAAAAAAAAAAGACAATTAGTTTCTCTGTAAAGTGTTCATCAATTCACAGTATTTTGTAGTGCCCCGCTATGAATGTTGCTCAAATTTAAGCTTTTAACATTGACAAAAGGTTTTATACTTTTATCCATTTACTGAAACTATGAGCCCAAAATCCTCTTCCCAAAGCAAATTTTATTGGGGCCGTACATCGTCAAGCTTATGAAATGAAAAGTATCAGCATGGAATTGAATGAAAACTCAGTCAGCTCGCGGTTAGGTCACTTGAAAAAAAAATTAAATTTAAAAATTATTACCAATTTGACATTATTTGAAATTAAATTTACTCCCTGTGCTTTTTCCTATAGAGTTATCTAAATCTCTTCATTATGGTATAAAACTCTTGACATTGGAAGAATTTAAGTAGTAAAACCTTGAGCGGAAAAAATATAAATATTGGAATTACTGAAGGAATTTTCATTTGTCACTTTCATAATCAAGCTCACTCCAATCAACTGGGAGATTCATATGCATGTTTTTAAAGGAAGAAATTTTATTATGATGTTTCTTTATCTCTCAACAATAAAGTTTGGGTTAGATTGCTTCTTAGCATATCAAATATTATTACTCAACATCTATTCTTAGCCCTTGTGGACGCACCATACTTCTCTGTATAAGGAATTTCTCTTTGAATTATTCTGGAAGGGTGGAGAGTTTGAGAATGTTTGCTTTTACTCTAGTCGGCAACACTTAGGATATTGCAAAGCTTTTGGACAACTTCAATGGTGGTACTGCCCAAAAATGTGATCCACATGATTTGTCTTTTATCACTAATTTTTATCCTCGTAATGTTTCTGCTTTATCTGTGACTTTGTAAACTTTTCTTTTATTGTTTATATATTTTCCTTATCCCAAAAAAATATGAAAGATTGCATTACAAGGAGTCCCCCTTAATCATCCATAAAGTTCACTAACAGTGTTGAATAAGTAATATTTTATCTGACCCTTATTACATGACACTTTCAACCATTTTACATATATTAAGAAAAGTTAATTTTTTTATATAATAAAAAAGTTAAATGCACTTTCATTTTTATCTTTGACTTTAAATAATAATACAACTATATTAAATATGTTCACGCTAATTTAAAAGGGGTAAAATTAAAAAAATAATTTAATTATTGTAAAATGTCCTATATTTTGGATTAAAAATTACTTTTTAAAAAGTGTCTTGTAAATAAAACTAGAGAGAGTGTGTACCAATTAATCTAAAAATATATGACATGCCTATAACATAAGAATACTTAATATCTCCACAAATAACAACGAATTCTAAGGCTTACTCCTCTATTTAAAATTATAAAATATTTTAATTGAATCTCACCCTTCAATAAAATCGTTAATTATCTTTAAACGAATGCCATCTTTTCATATTTATTTCTATTTAATAAATTATTTCACTTTAAGTAGATATAAAATGATTTATTTATTAGGAGAACTTTAAAAAAATACAATAATTATATTTTAGAGCACTAAAAATGCTTTAAATTTTTTAACATCCAACTCCTTGCCTTACATTTTTTAACAGTAAAATTTTTTTTATTAAGTATAATTCTATTAAAAATAATCTTGTTTCAGACACTAAATATTAGTATATCTTTAAGTGAAAATACAAACCTCAGATGATAATCCCACTTTGAGTAATTTAAAGTCCGAAAATAAACAGCTGAGAATGGGCCTATTT